ATTCAAGTGTAACGGTCGGTAGGTTTCAAAATTATTTGGCAATGTCTAAACTTTCTTTGAACTCGAAGATACCCTTTCGAGAAGAAGAGCCAATCGCTAGGAAAGTACTTTATTCGCCTGACGTTTCGAGATCCGTCGCGGATGCATTATCACAGACATAATCAGATAGCAGTAGCAAATACGGGTAGCGTATGCACAGGTGTTTGTAGTATTTAAAGGATACAGTCATTACTGCAAACATACAACGACAATGAACGGGAACTGCCTTCTTGCGCATGGATAGTTTGCTGGACGGCGTGTGGGCTCTGATTTGCTGAACTTTCATCCCGCGTGGTGTACTCGGGTGTGATGATCGCTCTGCCATCTGGTTCTCCTGTGTTGGCGTAGGATGACATGGTGGCCTGTCCGTTCCCCAAGTGGCGACTTGCTTTGGTCAAATACGGTCTCAGCACCAAATATGGATTGGTTAAATCGTTGTACTTGTTTATGGACTGGGGCCCGTGAACTATGACTCAGCTATGACTCGGCTCACCCGATTGTCACCTCTTGCGAGAATTCCGGCCTAATCGAATTTGAATGTGTGGCTGCGTCTCGTCGAATAAGCCGCAAATTGGAGAATTGGGCATCATTTCGCCGCACTGCTGCCGCGTGTTCGGCAATTCGTGTCTTGAGAAACATCATTTCGCCACACTGCTGCCGCGTGTTCGGCAATTCGCGTCTTGAGAAGCCTGCCATTTTTTGAGACAAAATTTCTTCGTCCGCAACTGCACCAGATCCTGTAGGCAATTTCAGATGTTTCTCTTCGTGGCAGTGGGCCTTTCGGTTTTATTGCCTGACGCCTTATGGTAGCCTCCGGCCTGTGTGCGACTCCAAGTGGTACAAGAAGGCGGCCGATCGCCCCCAAGACGTTTTGATGTACGGGATCGCTTACCAAATTTTGGGGTCGGTGCGAATTCTAATTAATATATTCGCCAGAGCTTCGTTACTTTCTTTATCTAATGTAGATCAGGTGCCAAAGCTTACAAAAGCATGACCTAATTTTCAGAAATAGGTTGAAATACAGCCTGGCAGGAAATCCACTCACCGATTCACTCCTACATGACGCTATGCTGCATTTCAATTTGGCGCTTTGCGATCATCCGTGTAGCACCTAATGGATAACGTCGCAGTGAAGCTATACACCCTCCTCAATGTAGATCTAATGCTTGTTAAAATTTTATTGTGTCCCGTAAAAGCACGAGCAGAAATGTATTTCAGCTCATTTTGCAGAATACTGAGCCTACCTCATATTTAATAATATGTTGGAATGATTAACCCCTGGTTAAAAAGAGCTTATAAATTCCTGTGTAGTTTGCATTTTTTTCTTTTGTTCACTCTGTAAGTTTGCAAACTAAATGATCGTTAGGATAAGGCATAGGTTACGCATTACGAATATCCATGAACTAAACTCCATTTGGGTTACTTTTCGCTTCAAGGTTAGAGTTTTGGTTAAGGTTGTATTTAAGGTTAAATTTAGTGGTAGGCTGAGAGTAAAGCTTATGATAAGGGTTATGTGAGGACAGGAGATTAAATTCCCCTCGAATTCGTGCGGTGGATTTACCTATTCCCCTGCCTAACATGCACGATCTAGGGCTTACGGATGGGACTTCGCCGCGACCAATTTATGTGGAATGGTTATCCAAAGGTGGTTAGAAGCCGAGGTCTAAGCGTTTGTTCTCGGAGAACCCAAATGGAAGTACCACCGAGGATATAGCACACCTTGCCTTTACAACAGGGACGTCTCAGAAACGACTGAGCGCATCGCTGCGAGACTAGGTGTTGGAATTGCACACCGACCCAAAGCTCCCTTGCGTAGCAGGTCGATGAAGCTCACAGACCGATTTGTATTTTCGTTATAATAAATTCACGCAGCTTATTATGCCCATGGGAAGAATATTCAGATCCCCAAGAACTAATGCAGTAGGCGTAAATCACGGTAAATAATTTGAAAGCAACGCCAGGAAATCCACTGATAACTAATTATTACGCGAATATCTCGAAAGGTCATCATCACTAAAAATTTACGACGTACGATTTTTGACAATGATGTAACTGTCCTCAAAATAAGTTCAAAACCTGCCTTGTGGAGTGCAAGTGTCTACTAACAAGTACTAAAAATTAATGAGAAAATAGGCACCAATATGTCTTGCAACCACAGTTGAACATCATTGTCCAGCTTAATTAATATTTATAGAGTTCAGCCAACGTTTTAAAGACGTCGAAGCTTGGGGTAACCTATAGCTTGGACAGAATACGTTTTCCCATGTGTCACCCCTCAAATACAAATTTACTCTGAGAGCTTGATAGGCAAAGCGTGCAAGCAAAACGTGTTTATTGTAAAGTCTGAATTGTTAACAAACAAATAATCGACATTTCTCGTTCCTTTGAGATTCATTACACAGTTCTGTTCCGCAGTATGTTGCCGTCCGCAATTTCCATCAGTCTACCCTCATCACCAACAGAGTTGACTTCATTTGGACTGCCG